AGCAAATTTTTAAAGAATGAAAAAAGTGTAACCTTGAGTGGACCACTCCTAAAAAATTGTAAAAGTTATTCTATTTTCTTTAATTTATTTAATATTTCTGATATATTAAGGGCATCCGGGAAATAATACTGGTTTCGTGATAGACGTCTCATTTAAAAAGAAAAGAATATTTTGAGTCGGGATTTTTTGGTAAATATAGAGAAATGCTCTGGGACCAGCGGTCCTCTCGGAATTTAGAGAAATTTTAATAAATAATTACTGAAAAAAATTGTTTAAATATACGGAAAAAGGGGTTTTGAACGGTTCAGTATAGACGTCTCATTTTGAGAGGATAAAATATTTCGGGTTCATATTTGGAGGGGTGATAGAGGAAGACTCTCCGAGGAGCGGCCCTCTCCGTTTTTGCAATAATTTTGAGAGGAAATTATTTTATTAACGATTGAAAGTGGAGTAATTTGAGATTAATACATTTCCTTAGTTCGAGTCGCGACCACTTCCGAGAATTGGCGCCACCTCCTTGACCACTGACACATAGATCCACTTGTCTGTGTGCTCACCGCCATATTGTATCTCACTTTCGCCAAAAATCCAACTTTTGTAATTTCGTTTTTCAATATTTATTTCAAAAATTACTTGCAAATTTCGAGAATATTCTTTATCATCATGAATTCCCCTAATTATCATGATAAATCCGAACTAAATATCTCTAATTATTTAGGAGTGAGACGACACGCGGGAAAACACTTTTTGGGCTCGATTTTTCCCGGATGCCCTTAAAACAAAATTTATGCTTATGCAGCTTCAGACCATGATTGTGTCGCAATGTTTACAAGTGAAACCACTTTTAATAATTTTGGCACACGGAGAAAATTTGTTCCTTACATTTTACCGAATTTTTCAATAAACTTGGGATATAGTAGCATAATCGTAATTTTTAATAATTTTTATATTATTTTTTCGGTAACAATATTTAAAATCTAATGTGATATCTTTATTCCTTAAGAACTAGTACTGTAAAAGTTGAAAAAAAAATTGAAACTGAACGTTTAATGTAAATTAAATAAATACCTCCTTGATGGGCACTAACGTTTTAGGAATAGTTCGGTAAAACTTTCTTGACTTGCTTAAAATGTTAGTTTTCAGGAATAGTTCGGTAAAACTTCCTTGACTTGCCTAAAGTTTTAGTTTTCTGGATTGAAATACTTTATTTTAAGTGTCCCGCAGTCAAATGAAAGACTTTCACTCTAATAGTTGATTTTTCCAACTTATTTAGACTTAATTAATAATCATTTTATTATTATTTAAATTAAAATTCAATTAATTAATTAATTATTTTAAACACTTATTAATTGCCAAATATGTAATAAATGCTTTTAAATCAAGTAAAAAGAAAATATAAAATGGCAATAACATACTTATTTTTTTAACATATAATTTATTCATTTTAATTAAATATGAATAATAGTAAGTAAGTAAGCAAGCAATCAAGAAAGCAAGTAAGTAAGCAAAAAGGAAATAAATAAGTAAGCAATTAAACATATAAGTAAGTATGTAAGTAAGTAAATAAGTAGGTAAGCAAGTAAGCAAAAAGGAAATAACTTGCTTGCTTACTAGCTTACTTTCTTATTTGCATACTTACTGGCTTATTTCTTTCTTGCTTACTTTGCTTACTTGCTTACCTACTTATTTGCTTACTTCCTAATTTCCTTCTTGCTTACTTGCTTGTTTCCTTTCTGATTACTTACTTCCTTATATGCTTACTTGCTTACTTTCTTATTTCCTTCTTGCTTACTTTGCTTACTTGATTATTTCCTCCTTGCTTACTTTGCTTACTTGCTTATTTCCTTCTTGATTACTTACTTTCTTACTTTCTCACTTGCTTATTTCCTTCTTGCTTACTTTATTCCTTATTTGCTTACTTGCTTATTTCCTTTTCGCTTTTTAGTACCTCACAATTATTATTTAATATTTCAGAAAGATTAATTTTCTATTAATAAATTTAATAATTTCCAACTTGCACTTTTAATATGTATATTTTTAATTTTAAACACAAAAATTTGAGAACAATAAGGATTTTCATAAATTATTGTTTTATTCCATTAAATACAAATTTAAACATTTTTCTTTATAATAATAAAAACATAATTTAAAAATATTTCATAAATTGACCTTGAATATAGTTAGAAATGATTCATTAATATAAATAATTTTTAATTTTGTACAACGATAGTTTATTAATTTGAATCTTTCTCACAAGCGGTGAAATAAAATTGAGATTAATATATAAGGACAGTTGAAACTTTCTGAAGCATTAATGTAAAGCGTGCGATGTGTGTATTAGTGTATGCGTTTAGAATGTACTGTAGGCAGGTGTATCAATTAGTATTTGTTCGTAAACAATTGTAGGGGGTTTAGGTAGTGATTAAAGTAGGTAAATTGAGAGTTACGGCAGTATTAATATAGATCTACTGAAGTAACATTATTTTTTATTTTTGTTCTTCAAGTTTTACCGAACTTTCAGTAAATTGCAACTCGTCAGTTTTACCGAAGACTTTATCTTACGTTTTACCGAACTTTCAATAAATTGCAACTCGTCAGTTTTACCGAAGACTTTATCTTACGTTTTACCGAACTATTCAATAAATATGAATGTAGCGAGCACTTGGCTTAGGTTTTACCGAACTGTAAGTGAAGCGCTAATACATGTATCGTGAGCTTTATGATTTTTACATTATTTTTCAATGCAATTTCTTTTACAGTCTAGTTCTTGAAAAATTACTGTTTTGACACTTCATCCCAGTTTTACCGAACTAAATTCAGTAAAATTTCAGGAATAAATTTTCTCCGTGCACATATCACATCAATATCACAAAAAAATTAATAAAGAACATAAAACATAGTTTCAAACCAATTTATTGTCAATTTATTTCCTTAAAAATGGTAAACTGACATTAAAAATATAAAAAACAGGCAGTCCTCTCATGGTTATAAACAGTGGTCCACTCATAGTGAAATACAATTTTTTATGGCAGCCACCACAATTTTTTTTTGAGTCAAAATTATCACTTAATTAAACTAAGACAATCAATTTCAATGTCCAAAGTAGTAGGAAAAAAAATAAGTTACCTTTTAAAACTTAAATTTTACACTACTTTTACACTTCCGAATCACTTTACTCATTGTAAGAGCGACTTCTTTTTTGGTTTGTATTCTTAAAAATGCGTTACATCAAACAATAACGTACATGTTTACGCTGTCAGATAACTTAAAAGCTCAGGTGGTCCACTCAAAGTGGCGGTCCACTCAATGTGACATTACCCTAGCGCTGCTCATTAGCCCTGATTAGCACGTCCAGTCTGGACCAACGCGTGGTTCAATCGTCACTGGTCTGATTAGCCCATGGTCAGACAGTCTTTTCAGCGCCCAGTTAGAGAATACCTTTCTGGTACCACACTAGAACCCAACAATTTTTCTACACGGGTGACTGAATGTCCATTGGTGGTTTCCAATAAAGAAAGTAACAATCGACATGGTATTTTTTCAAAGAAACAAAACGAAAATAACAAGTGCTCGGTGATTTAATTCGATTGCAGTTACATTTCGAGTTCATCGTGCCGTGGACTTAAAACCTGCGTTCATTTACAATGAATCGTGAGCAAAACCCTTCTGGTAACTTCCATGAAAAGAGTTGCAATTATGGAAGACCCCGTTTCATTGCAGTTAGGCCTCTATCTACTATCAGATAATAGGATTAACTTGGAAAAGCGAGTAAATGGGCACTCAGAGTTGCAAGGAGAATTAAATGTGTAACGCGGAAATTGTTAAGACAACGTCGTGGGATTTTTCTTTGTATATATATGTATATATACTTTTTCTAAATACTATTTCTATTTAAATCTATTCTATAATTTATATATATATTTATAATTATATATTAATAAATATAAATAAAAAAATAACCAAAGAATAATTAAACTCACTCCCACGCATATATTTGCACTGTACTCGAAATTTCACTAATCGAAAATACAATTTTGTGTAATCGTATATATAAACAGGATACGCGAACATATATATAATCTGTGCGATGCTGTCATTATTTATAGGATGAAATCAATAATGGTGTTTGAACCCCTTTTACAAAATCTATACTAGCTTAAAATTACATATATTAGGGGAACTTAATCGAGTTTCAAATTTCATTTCAAAATCGACTTTTTTATATAGAGATATTAGAAAGAAAAGAATATTTATCATCCTAATGAAACGAGTATGAAATTTCAAAATTAATTCAAATTGAAAAATATAGTGAAATTATATGCGGGGAATATTATTTCGTTTTTTCAAATTACTTTTTAAAAGGGATGACTTTCTTTTGACTAAACAGATTAAGAAACTGATTTTTAAAAAGTATATAATTGTCTTAATTTTTATTTTAAACCTAAAAATGACAACTTTTTTAAGGATATCAAATTGAGACAAAATACTTATCAAAATTGTTGCAATGTCGTTACATTGTAACAATTTTGATAAGTATTTTTGATACGTTTTTTGTCTACATTTGATATCTTTAAAAAACGGTGAAGTTTTCTTTTTCTTGTAAAAACAAAGTCTTAAAAACTTTGTTACAGTAAAGGAAATGTACACTGTAAAAAAAGGGAGTTAAATTTTAACTCCCCAGGGGATTCTATAAAAATCGCACCCATGGGAGAGTTAATGCGAGGGGAGTTAAATAAAGAGAGTTAAAATTTAACACCCAAATGCTAACTTCCCATGGAAAAAATAACTCGCGCGGGTGTTGAATGAAGGGAGTTAGAAATTAACTCTCTTTTGGAGTTGATTTTTAACTCGAAAAATTTAACTCCCAACTCCTGAGTCCGTTAACTCCCTAAATTTTTTACAGTGTATAGAGTGTGATAGAAAATGAAATGTGTATAATAAAAATATTTTTATCAAAAAAGATGTTCTGTTATAGAAATAGAAAAAATTTGAATATTCACTCTGCCAACGAAGAAGCGCCTATAGCATTTGGCTGTGTCATCTTGGTCTATCCTTGGTTGCCACGCTGGCTGGGCTGGTAAGAGGGCTCTACCCGCAGAATCTAGAGTATGTCTGTGATCCGTACCATCGACCCAGTATCCTGGTGGTGTGACAACCAAAGGCGGTTTCTGAGATCCAGAATTTGCCTGCTGAATAGCTTGCTCCATAAGGGCTCGACCCAGTGGAGCATCGCCAACTGGAGATGGTGATGGTGTTGGCGTTGTGATTTGTGACGCTGGACTAGACGCCGATCTCTCATCTCTAGACGCCTGTTGACAAATAAGCAGAAAACAAATCTTTAATTTTAACTTCCACAATTATTATTTTAAATACAATGTAGGTATTTTGAAATAATTTTAAAATTACAATTATTTAGATTTTTACTTCATTTTAGAAATTAATTAAATTATTTTAAAAATTAACATTAAGTGACGAGACTTTCTTTCGAAAAAGTTGAGTTTGCGTTGAATCGATGAAAAAAGGAAAACAGAAAAAGACAATGGAATTTATATTTAAAAGTCACTGACACTTCCGATAAAAATCTACGGTTATTGTTGCAGAATATCTGCTATTGTTCTGCACCAGGTTCGTCAATTCTCTGCCTGTTCACTGGGCATGAATAGAGTAACAATTCTATCTGCATCACTGCAATGTCTTATAATATATGAAATATTCTCAGATTATTCCGGAGCTAAAACAAGACATATCGCATTCTCTCTATACACACAATAGTCTCACTTTTCCTCAACAATCTAAAATTTCTTTCCATCCAAGTTTATGTAATCCACTATTTTTCCATATAGAATTTTTCCATTCGAAATTATAACAAGAACATATGGTCAAATTTTTAAAAAAATCTATAGAAAAGCGTTTCGGGGATGTGATACCTAAAGGGGTAATCCAGAAGCGATTCAATTTTTTCACTGAAGCTGTGTGTAAAAATCGCATCGTCTTTGACATATTCCCTTAAGAAGCTGTAAAAAATATGCGACTTTTACGGAATAGGACTTTTTGCACCCCCTTACTATAGGAAACTTTAATGTAGGGAACACTTTTACCGACCCTTAAGGCGAAGAAACAAGAAGGTAATTTGCCATCCCTTTAAGGGGCTGAGAAAGTATATGCGACTTTTAGGAAAAAAACCTTGACACCCCGTTACAAAAGCGTGTCCGTACAGGAAACGCTTCTTCCGACCCTTAAGGGATGAACAAGCCGGTAAGGCAGAAATCCTTAATTTTAACACAAAACCAGAGGGAAAAAATACCAGAGGCTTGTAGTTTTGACCCAAAATAATCGAAAAGCGGAAAAATATTGAGAATTACATTTATAATTTTCCTATAAAATAGAGCGGAATACTTCAGAAAAAAATATACACTGCGTTTCTTTCCTTTGAACGTGGGAATTGTATTCCTGTTTGCTCCTTTTTTCCACGAGTTTCGATCAGGAGGAAGGAAGTGTGCAGTAAAGCAAAAAGGAAGACATATATAGGAGTCGACATATGAGAAGGAGAGGCGCTCGCTCCTTTCGACTGGAATCATCTGCCAGGTCGAATGACTTCACAAGACTATATATATATATATATATACGAAAACCCCAAAGAGTCCATAGGTCATATATAAAAGCAAAAATAAAACGAAATACCCTCTCTCTCTTTCTTTTTTTCTCGATCGGCCGTTTAAAATTACACAATATAATGCCGTATTCAGGGGGAATATGGTACTTGAGCAGGTGGTACACTGTCCAACTGCATTCTAGACACGGAAATTAAAACACCAGGTCCCTTAGCAACATGTGTTTTATTGTCTGGTGTTTTTTTACCCCTCTTCTCCTCCCGACAATAACAAAACCTGTCGTAACGAAATTCCTACTTTTTCACTCCTTTCAATCCAAAACGAATTTGAGAAGCATTTAATTACATTTTTAGTTTGACCAGACATTTTTCTACACGGGGAAGAGAATTTCGTGTTTTAGAAACATTCTTCTTCTTTTTGTTTTATAATCGAATGGGAAACTATAATTCAGTGGCTTGACCCAAATTTTTCGGTAACGCCTCCATAATCTACACGCCAATTGAATGACAAGATGACATAAAATTTGCTCGTGAAAAAGATAAGTTTCCCCACTTGACATGTACACAAACACACATTTATGAGCGTTATCGTGAACCGAATACATATATATACATTTATTCCGAAACTCGATATTCCTTCATTCAAATTATTATTAATGGCACTTGGGGACTTCACCGATCACAAAACTTTTTACTTGTTTATTTAACTCACAAAATATACACAGTAAAAAGTAAATCTTAATTTAAGAGCTGCCTTAAATTCAACACTGTCTGCTATAATGTTAAAGGATACGAAAAACGTGCGTAAATTCAACATTGACTGTCTTAAAAATGTTGCATCTTAATTTAAGGCAGCTTTCGTGTCTTAAAATAAGATTTTCTTTTTACTGTGTATCGTGTAAACCCCTCAATTAGACGTAAAACGTTTTTAAACATTTTTCCCAATTTATCAAATTTTCAAATTTAAAAAAACAATATTTAAAATTTAAGAAGAATAAATAGACTTCTTCTGAATTTTTCGAAATAAAACAAAAATAAATAAAAAATTATTTGAGACAAGTAATCGTTTATTTGAACCAAAATAAATTTTTCTAGTCTAGAAAATAAAGAAAATAGAATGAAAGAAATTATAACTTACTAAATTTAAAAAAAACTTGAAACTGAAATAATTACAAATGATTATAAATCATCTCTCTAAAACTAAAAATACACCGACCCTTGCGATTGGAAATCAACATTTTTCAAATTTTTCTCTTCTTTTAAAATTCTACACTCACACACACGCGATATTATAAAAGCTCTAGAAACGAAAAGCACTGCTTCCCCAAAATGCGTGTTGGATTTATATTTAGCGTCAAAGTGAGAAACGACGTTGGGTTAGAGTTTCAAATTTTGTTATCCCTTTTTGCTTTTTTAAGTCCAACCCATAGACTTTAAAGGCACTTAAATTACTGAACAAACGGGCGTTGAAGTTTTTCTCAACGAAATTCAATCAATTAATAAAAAAAAGAAAGAAAGAATAAAGAAAATATATAAACGAACGAATAATTATCTAAAACTCATTTCTCGAATGGCGTATAGTGCTATTGAGACAAGATATACATACAAAAGTAAATGAAACATGAGAGCCAGACACTCCTGTTGCGCTAATTATAATACGCATAATTTCGTCATTTTCAAAATTGAAAAAGTAGATAGAAATATTGTAATATTCTTTCTTTTTATTTGACTGCAAAAAAGCTGAACGAAATTTTAGTATTTAGAAAGAGTTTGCATTTTAAATTTAAAATTTTTTTAATCTGAATCTGAATTTTATTTTATTTATGTACGTTTCCTTGTCGTAAACTTTACTAAATTTCCTTATAGTAAATTTTACTATATTTTCATTCAATTTAATATAGTATAGTAGGGGAGGATGGGGCAAGGATAGTTAGTGGCTGTATTGCTTAAACGGCTTGTTCAAATTAGCGCGTCATTCATGATATTTTCGCGTCTTAACACCAAAAGATGATACTCTCTAAATCTGAATCAGCGAAAAAATCGCTGTTTTAACCAGTGAACGAAGTTTCCGCTAAAAAATAGTGGAAGTTACTGAAGATCAGTGGATGTCACTGAAGAAATCAGCCAACTCTGCGTGTGCGCAGAAGTGTCAAACACTCGTAGCGTAACCAATAATACGTCACCGCTGATGGTATACTGATGGTATACGTCTCAGTGGTATACTTATAGCTATTTGAATTAGTGACTATCCGCTGAGAATCAGCGAGGTTTCGCTAATTCAGATTTAGAGAGTAGTAAAAATTGGAAGTCAATCTGCCACCATTTGCGAAGTTAGGAGTTTATTTTTAAAAAACACCTGTTTTTGAAAAATGTCAACGGAATCTTTGTCACGTTTTATCATATTGTTTTCTTTATTAGTGCTTCCGAATATTTATTTACGTAAGTGTTTTTTGGAGTGGAATTTCCTGCTGAACACGAATATCGTATTTATTTGCAATTAAATTCACGTCGTTTCACAACAAAATTATGAATAATTGAAATATGGGCTCCTTTTCCCCCCACGGGGTAAGGATAGTTAGAGCTAATATGGCACAGTACAATCCTGCTAATGCGACTGTAAATTATAAAAAAATGTTTAATTGTTCTTTTTAGGCTGATATACATAACAGTGCGTAATTATATACGGAAAACAAAGCTTATTGACCAAGAAATTGGTAGTTGTCTGAAGAAAATTGGTTAAAACTGAGATTCAAGTTCAGACGAATTTTAATGCAATAATTAAAATTCAGAAAATGTTCAATACATATTGTTAATAGTGAGATCTTATTTTGTTTTAGAAAAAAATCCATTTATATAATTTTGTAATTATTTATTAGCTTTCGCCCGTCGACGACAGGCATCCTCAGATAATTTTAAACTGAAATTACATACAATTATTAGTGAAAGAATTATATCGAAAAATATCTGGAAGAACATAACCAATAACTTACCAAGAAGTCTTCTTCTTCATAACACCTGTCAGTCTTATGAAAAGATGGATTAAAGAACAAAAACGTCTGAGGAGACTAAGAAATCAAAATCGGTTCTTACTACGTTGTAAATCAAGTGGGTTTCTTCCTTCTCATTTAATTAATTTGAAAACTAATTTATCTTTTAATAATTTTTCGGTAAAAAAAGTTTAATGAAGTAACCTTTAACTACAAAATTAGTGCTCTTAATTTTGAAATTAATGATACTAATAAGTCTGTATCAAATTTGCAATCCTTCTTGGTAAATTTAAAGAGAAAAATATCTTAATTGATTAATGACCAACAAATATCTCATAATTTTTTTACTTTTCAAGAAAATTTTTTGGATGTTTATCAAAAACAGCTTATTAACAAAGGTATTTCGATATTTGATTGGTTAAATAAGAAATATTACAATTTTCATTTTAATAAAAAGCCAAATACGAAATGGATTAGAAACTTATCAAGTGTGACCTGCTGTTGTTGAGGACGCTCTGACCATGACTGAGGAGAGAATGAATCTCATCCCAGTAAATAAAAGGGATGTTTTCAGAAGCAGGTTAATAAGTGCTTTACAAAATTATTTTAACAATAATCACAATATTTTTAACAATTGTATATATAATACTATTGGTAATAAAACTAGACAATTTTTTAAAGAAAATAAAAACATAGTAGTTTGTAAAGCCGA